AGATAAACCACTTCAATAATTTCACATTGTCATCACCGACAATCATACTCCACTATAAAGAGTATAGTTATTTGAAGCTACACCACTCCAATAATTTTTACATTGTCTTCACCGACAATCATATACTTTAACATGAAGAATAAATTTCACTTGAAACTAAATCACTCTGAGAATTTTACACTGTCTTCATCGACAATCATAGTTTTAAAAAACTATCATACTCCGCCTAAAGAAGAGTATACTTCACTTGAAGGTAAACCACTTCAAAAAAATTCACATGTCGAAAATCAGGTTGAAACATTATGGTGCAACTTCCTTGTTGGCAGGAAACTCTTCAACCACTGACATAATCTTGCACCTTGTGTAATCTTGATTGTATCAACACATATTTAACTTGAACTTTCCACAATTCAAAAAAAAATTCTTCCATCAATTTTCTCTAGCCTGACCTACACAGCGGAATTTGTAACTATAGCTCAACAACTCTTTCACAATACTACCTTTCTTTTATCGAACCAAAAGCTCTGATACCAGTACACCTACACCCTCCAAAACTAATATTTAACTACATCTCACAACACTCTAAAACAAGAGTATAAGAGAATAAAGAAAGTCAAATATAAGTTTAAAGTGCTTTTGATTTGTGCATCTTAGAATGAAGAACTTGAGTCCTATATATAACCTTGAACTCCCTCTTCCTTCACAAAACTAAGCGATGTGGAACTTTAAAAAACTTGTATTCTATATATAGCCTTGGATTCCCTCTTCATTCACAAAACCAAACAATGTGAGACTTATTCAACATGTATATTTTCAATCAACCCCAACATACACCTACGTGAATGATAACACATTCAGGATATGGAACCGTCTTTATTGTTTATTAGATAGTCCATGGCTTTTATATTTGCTGTCGTCTTTGTTACATCAATGAAAATAATAAATAAATAAATAAATAATAAAGAGACAAATAGAAAGGAAAAAAAATAATAATTGCAATAAATATGTTAACCAATTTCAATTTCCATACACAACCTAACCATAATAGCCTTAAACCATATATTAAAATAGCCCTTAAACCATAAGTTTTTTTAAATAATTGAAAATAATTGTTTTATAATTGAATGGTTGTCCGTATGTTTGACAATTTTATTAGTTTTTTAGGGGTATTATTGAAATTAAAAGTAGCTCAAAACTCTCTATTTCTTTTATTTATAGTTATAGATTATTAATTTTAATAATTATTATAAATATAAATATTTTATTAATTATATTAGTTATTTATTAAAATAAAGTATTTAATCGATTAAGTGATCAAATAAAATTAAAAAATCTTAACTAAACTTTTATTTAAAATTTAAACAATTAACTGGTATGATTCAAATATGAATGAATTTTAAGATGGCTTATTTTAGAATAATAAGATTTTTAATTGGTTATCATGTGCACAATATATTGAAGATATATATATATATATATATATATATATATATATATATATATATATATATATATATATATATATATATATATATATATATATATATATATATATATATATATATATATATATATATATATATATATATATATATATATATATATATATATATATATATATATATATATATATATATATATATATATATATATATGTCTTCAATATATTGTGCACATGTATATTATCTCTTCCTTTCATCTAAAGAATGTTCAAAGAATTAGAAATATTGATTGAGAAAGATCTACAAATTAACAAATGTCAATAACTTATCTCTATATTTTAGTGTTTCAGATCTGCTGAAAGACTTATCTCCATGGATATCAGTATTTTTATAGCCTCATCTTTCATCGACTAATATGTTGTAGACCCTATAATTATATGCATGCTCACTTGTTTTTTTTTACAACACTTATTTATTATAATTGATATTATGTATATAGGATGTTTTGTATAATTTATTATTATTATTTATTTAATTTCAATAGAAATGTACTAAGTTGTCTTGATATATTTTTCTCAAGGACTAAAAGTTATTTTTAAATCCCCCTAGACCTTTTTCGTATTTATATTCCGATCCAACACTATTTTGTTTCAATTTTTTAATCTTCAGTTAATACGTGTCACCTCTTTCGCATCTCATTATTACAAATACTTGACTTTTGTTCCAACCATTTTTGAACTTTTTAATTACTACGTCAAACCCTAATTTTTTTGTCTCCCTACATACCCATTGTAGCATATAGTTCACGAACAATAAACACTTCTTTATTTGTAAATTATGCAAGAACATATATCTCGATAACAACTGTTCGAGCATCCGATTTAACATCATCATTCGCTTCATCTGGTTTAACATCATCATTCACTTCATCCGATTATGCTTCACTTCGAGCGGTTTACCATCAACATTCACAATAGTTTTAAAAAATATATTCGGGTGCACCATATCTATTACAATCAATAATAGAAAGAAAAAAGTTAAAATTCATACTAATAAGACAATTCAAATATGTACATTCATACTACACCTAACTTCGTTCGGAGATGCATATCCGGATTCAACGTCCATTTTTCAGCACATATTCAAGATTAATGTAAGAAATCAAAGATGAAATGAATGATCTTTACCTGCAATTTCAAATTATTTTGCTTCTTTTGAAGTGATGAAATATAAGAATAATGTTGTGTTAAAAAGTTGATTGAGAATGAGATAAATTCTTTTAAGGATTTTGGAATGGAGATTCTTTTTTAGCATGAAGAAGAAGCTCATGCAGGATGGTGTTTTATCAAATCAAGTTGAAATTTTTTTAGAGATGTATCTATTTGTTTTAGTTTTTAAAAAAGTTGTATTTTTAAAAATATTACAAAAAAATTATTTTTTTTATTTATTTAAAGACTAATTTTTATATCTTATAACATACATAAAGAAATATATTTCAAAAATTATTTTTATAAAAAAAATTTTAAAATAGCTTCTAAATTAAGTAATTTTTTAAAATTTTAATATAAAAAAATTCAATATGAAATATCCAAAATAAAAAATAAGTATTTAAATCAAATTCTCATTTTAAATTTATACTAAAAAATTATAAATTTTTTCCCACAAAAAAATGCAACACTATAAAAATCATTTAAAAAACTGAAAAATAAACTCAAAATATAGAACATGAAATGTTAACGGGTTCTTTATTATAAGTTGTTTATTTATTGATTTGTGTGAACATTCATATTATGTCTCAACAATTTTCATGATCAATTTTGGTTAAAACAAATATATATATTAGAAATAAGTTAAAATAAAATAACACTAGTATTCTATTTTTTTTTTTTTAGTTTTCAATATTTTTGGATAAATACCGATAGTATACATCTTAATATCTTATACAAACTCGTACTACCTATTTTCAACTTATAAAATCTAATGAAGAATAAGAATTAAACCGAAACTCGTACATAACTGCTGCTTGCTCTTGAATTTTCAAAACAATTCTAAAGCAGAAAAGTGTGGTACAAGGCAAGAAGTGTAGTACAAGACAGGCAAGAATGGCAACAGGTGCAATATAATATAAAGTTCAAAACAAGGAAGTTGTTCTCAAAGAAAATCACCAAAAAATAGAGTGGAGGAAATTGTTTTTTGATAATGTAGTGCGACCAATTTGTCATGTGGCTTGCTTGGGATGATATAGATGCAACTTCTATACTAACTCTAAAACTTTAAACCGGTGTGGAGGCATGTTATTGAGTGACTTCAAAACTCACAACCCATGGGATGTAAATGCTAGCAAAGGAAATGGTTGGAAGGGACAACTACTAAAGACATCGTTTGCAGTAGCAATATATGTGACAAGGTTCGTAATACAAACATAGACAAAAGAATTATAAATGCTCTACTTTAGTTTTCTTATAGTTTGCATGTTTGTGGGTTGAATTGTTTTAGGATTGCCTTGTACAAATTTGTTAGGGTTATATCAAAGTTTGATTTCCAATCACACAGGAACTTAAATGAAGAAAATAATTGAAAAAAAATGAGACATTGTTACCAAGAACTTACAAGGAACTGTTGAGAACCAATTTATTCATTTGTTGTTACCAAGCTCTTGATAAATGAAGATGCCCCCCCAACAAGAACATCAAAATTCTTGAATCTGGGTAAAACGCTAATATCACCCAAATTACTAGTTTTTATCAGGCATGCAATCCTAATTAATTTTCTTTTCACAATGATTTTAGTGACATATACTTGACTGAGACCATTTGCTTACACAGTTACAAATGGCTACATAATGATTGCATGAATAATTTATTCACAAATTTAACCCAATTTAGAATACAAAGTACGAATGCAAAAAAGCCTCACAAATCCACTTAATACAAACAAACACATAAAAGTGAAGGAAAAACTACTTCAGTTTGGAACAGATGTTGGTGTGGGAGAGCAATGGTCAAATAGTACAGAAATAAGATATGCTTAACATATATCAGGAGAGGTTTGTGCAATTTGACAAAGCAAAAGAAATATTATCACAGACAAAATATAGAATTGCGAGTAAAATGCATTCAGTAATAAGGTAGTGTCTGAAGCTCCAAAAACGAGTGATAATAAGGTCAGCTAGTCAAGCAAATAAAATATCAATTTAGAAGTTTAAAAACAAATGTATTCAAGTTACAGCCAAAATTGCACCTACTTAACGTTTACCGCCGCCGCCACCCAATTTAGGACCCTTGGGCAAACCACCTTTCTGAACATTGCCTTTGCCTGATTTTTGTGCCTTAGATGCTACTTCTGCTTTCTTGGCTTTCTTCTCATCTTTTGTTTTCTTAATCCTCTCTTTGATTTCACTGCAGAATGGACTCGGATAATTAGATATGTCATTCATAACTAAAAGAGTAAAACAAGGGCGAAGAGAAATGAAAATGAGACTGCAAAGCAGGGTTCAGATAAACAAGAAGCACCCTAAGAATTCTCAAAACAGTGAGTAGAAATCAAACAAAAACACACCGCAGAGCAGCTTCCCTAGCTGCATCTCGAACTTCAGGCTTCTCAGCTCTTTTCTTCTGAATGACTTCCAGGGTAGCACCAACAATGGACCTAGAGTACGGCTTCTTGGTAGCACGGCGTCTCTTCTTTACTGCTTCTTGAGCAATGTCCTGCACATCACATTCATGAGATCAAATCACATGCAATAAGTTGTGCAATTCCTTGACAAGCTTATCTATCAGCTTGTGTGATAAACTTGGTACATAGTACAATCAGGCCAAATTCAACACAAGTAACTACAACATCTTCACATTGTAACTAGATTCATAGATGAAACTTTGGCCTTCAACTTCTTGGGTGCTTAATTTTTTATATTGTTTTCGTTCAATCTAATTACAAATGTATTTGTTCAAGTGTTAAACAATAACCTTCTTGTGTTGCTTTCTGTACATGGCAGTCCATGTGAGCTTTGAAGGCTTCAAACGGTTGTGGAAATACCTCTTACATTTCGAGTTCACAAATAGAAAAACCTGTAAAATCAACAAAAATCCTTATATCAGTTAAACTCTAGTAAACACATCACTAATATTTAGTTAAAGAGATGCATAAACCCGAAATTGAAATTGAGTCTACTTTAAATCACCTGTGAATCACTACGAATAAATCTGATGCCTCTTCCTGGGTAGATCTTTGCACCACTGAATCGGCAGAGTTCAGTCCTGATATGGAAAAATCAATTACTAATTATTACACTTGAGAATGCATTAAATAAATGCACAACACTAAATAATCCATAATGCAGTGACACCGGATGATTGATGAATTTCTAAAAACCTACTACCTAAATATCATAAAATTGCAGGCAAAATCTGGTATCAACAAACCCAAAAAATGAAACACTAAATATCACAAAATTGCAGGCAATAACTCATATCAACACACCCATAAAATGAAACACAATAACCAATAAATTTGTGGAGAACTTGTATACTTGAATTGTTTGATTCGATGTTATATTAAACTAAATATATGATGATTACCAGATAAAAATGTAAATATTAGAAGCAACCTACAATCAGAGAATAACATTTCTGATAAAGATTCACGAATTTCGCATTCACAGAAAACCTGAGACACTGATTCTAACACAGTAATACTTAATCTCAAATCATTAACAAAATAATCCAAAACAAATCCACGAAAGAAATTTTTAGCGCGTATTGTTATTGGATCGAATATATGTTGTACACAGGCAATGATTGAAGAAAATTGAGGAAATGAATGCTTACTTGAGAACCATGGCTTCTTCTCCCGCTGGTGGCTGCTTCTGCGCTGGTGGTTTCTCTAAACCCTAGTATCCAAAATCTCTAAGATCCGCCTCTGGGAATCTATATACTCGAAATATCACATAAATGTCCTTCCCTTTGTTGTAAAAGCACGAAAATGCCACTTTTCGGTGGGTTTTCATATTGGGCTTAACTTAAATAGCGCATAGCCCAATCTATAAGAATGTTGTAAAATTTCAATTATTCCGTAAGAATGTTAAAAATTTCGTAGTTTAAATAGAAATGTTGAAATTAAAGTACGAAACTTAGAGCCTATAAAATTCGTACTTTAATTTTGTAAAAATGATAAAAATTTTGATTTGTTAGATCGTATACTCATTTTTATATCTCATATTTTTTATATTCATTTTTCATAATTGGTATATCATTTAAAAATAAACATTGAATTTTAAATTAAAAAAGCTGATATGGGATTAAAAATGTTTGAATTTTAAATAGAGGGTTTATTTTATAAATTAGATAAAATAGAGGGACAAAAATAGTAACTAAGTTTATATTATATATTTAAATTTCTACATATGTTATTATGCAATAATTTGTCGTGCATCACAAATAACATAATAGACGTGGATTCGGGTCGGACGACCCAAGTTCTAGTTTGGTGACCCAAGATCCCACACGTCGTTTCCTCTAATAAACCTTTCATAACACATTTGGGTTGATCATATCCTTCCTTTTTGGTCCCAACAAAAGTTATTTTAGCCCATATATAATGATGATTAAATAAAGAATAAAATGTTACATTGAGATCGATGTATAAGTATTTGATGGTTCCTTGTAGATGATGAAATGACAGTGATTTCGACCTGTACTGAAAATATGAAGTTTTGGATGTATTATCGTTACATGTGTTATCCATGTCATTTCATTAATAAATTACCACTCTTATAATCGATTAGCTTGATGTTTTAATCAATTAGATGACTCAAAAAAGTTTTCTCAATCAATTATCATAATTAACTAATTGATTAATTAGCTAAAAAGAGTTTTAAAAGGTTAGAACAACTTTCTAATCATTTGTCTTGACTTAGAAAATGATTTTTTTTAAGTTCAAACATATTTGAGAAGGAAAAAAAATGTGTGTGTGTGTGTGTGTGTGTGTGTGTGTGTGTGTGTGTGTGTGTGTGTGTGTGTGTGTGTGTGTGTGTGTGTGTGTGTGTGTGTGTGTGTGTGTGTGTGTGTGTGTGTGTGTGTGTGTGTGTGTGTGTGTGTGTGTGTGTGTGTGTGTGTGTGTGTGTGTGTGTGTGTGTGTGTGTGTGTGTGTGTGTGTGTGTGTGTGTGTGTGTGTGTGTGTGTGTGTGTGTGTGTGTGTGTGTGTGTGTGTGTGTGTGTGTGTGTGTGTGTGTGTGTGTGTGTGTGTGTGTGTGTGTGTGTGTGTGTGTGTGTGTGTGTGTGTGTGTGTGTGTGTGTGTGTGTGTGTGTGTGTGTGTGTGTGTGTGTGTGTGTGTGTGTGTGTGTGTGTGTGTGTGTGTGTGTGTGTGTGTGTGTGTGTGTGTGTGTGTGTGTGTGTGTGTGTGTGTGTGTGTGTGTGTGTGTGTGTGTGTGTGTGTGTGTGTGTGTGTGTGTGTGTGTGTGTGTGTGTGTGTGTGTGTGTGTGTGTGTGTGTGTGTGTGTGTGTGTGTGTGTGTGTGTGTGTGTGTGTGTGTGTGTGTGTGTGTGTGTGTGTGTGAGAGAGAGAGAGAGAGAGAGAATCACCTTGATACATTTAAGCTACTTCCTTACTTTTACAATACTCTGGTCACTCAAACAGATAGACAAGCATGATCTAGTGAGGTTTCACACCTTTCTCCAAGACTTCGAGACTTTTGATTGATAGTTTCTGATTTATACAGACACTTGATTTTAAGTTCTTTTGTTGATAATTCATAAGTGATTTTTCTTTGGTTATTACCATCGAGGTTGAAATTTATTGTCATGTGTTGTCGTCATCAAAACTTCAGATGCGAAACTTCATAACAATCACATATTCACAAATGAGGCCATCATCCTGGAACATTGTTATTTTTCTATGCAAGAAAAGTTAAATTAATTTTAAAAGGAGAATGTTTGGGAACTCATTTCAAAGCTTCATCTAATCAAGTGATTGGGATCCGTTGGGTCTTTCGCAATAAGTTTGATGAAGATAGAAAAATTTTGAGAAACAAATAAAGACTTATTGCGGAAGGATACAATAAATAGGAAGGTATAGATTTAAATGAAACATATGCTCTTATAGCTCAATTAAAGGCCATGAGAATGATTCTAGCTTTTTCTTGCATCATAGATTTTAAACTCTTCCAAATGGATATAAAGAGTTCATTCTTGAACAGTAACATCCAAGAGAAAATGTTTGCTAATCAACCTCCAGGTTTTATCAACCCGATATTTCTTGATCATGACTTCAAACTTAAAAAGGATTTATATGGACTAAAACAAGCTCCTAGAGTATGATATGATTGTTTAAGAAAGTTCTTTTTTCTTGAGAACAAGTTTCACAGAGGAAAAGTTGAGAAAACCCATTTATCAAAAAACTTGAGCATAAAATTTTACTTGTTCAAGTTTATAAAGACACTATTATATACAGTGCTACTAACTAATCCTGGTGCAATGATTTCTCTGACATGACACATAACGAGTTTGAGATGTCCGTGATGGGGGAGTCTTGGTACTTACTAGGACTACAAATCCATCAGTCAAAATATGGGACATTCATAAATAAATCTAAGTACTACAAGAATCTTTTTAAGAGGTATGATATGGATAAGTCAAAAGCGATTGATACTTCAATGGCTACATCATGAAACTTGGACAAGGATGAAAGGGGAAAGTCAGTTGAAGAAAGAAAGTACTGAGGTATGATCAACTTTCTCCTTTACCTCACTACATCTCATCTTAATATTATATTTGATGTTTGTCTCTATGAATGTTTTCAAGTATCTTAGAAAGAATTACATATATCTACAGTAAAACACATCAAGAGATATCTCATTAAAACACAACATATGGGTTTATGGTACCCCAATGTGACAGGTTGTGTCTTAGTTGGGTACTATGACCCTAATTTTTCTGGGTGCGAATTAGATCGCAAGAGTACAAGTGCTATGTGTCACTTATTTGGAAACTCACATGTCTCCTAGCATAGCAAGAAACAAACAAGTGTAGCATTATCCACAACTGAGACAGAATATGCTATTGCAGGTAGCTATTATACATAAATTATCTGGATGAAACACCAACTATGTGATTACAGAGTTAATCTTGGTGTTATTCCGATAAAATGCGACAACACTAGCGTCATAAACCCCACAAAAACATGGTACTTTACTCTTGGACTAAACACATTGAGATTAGATATCATTTCATTCGAGATCATGTTGAAAAAAGGAGGATTGCGTAAGTGAACATGTGTCTTCATATAATTAACTCGCACATATTTTTACCAAACCTATTTCTAAAGAAAATTTATTTTTCATAAGAATTAAGTTAGTAATTTTGAATCAACCATGCATTAATTAATATAAGTTAATTGTCTTTTCTCATTATTCTTCTTCTCTTTCTTTATATGGTATACATGATATATGTGTTTGTTTTTGTTTATTTTTCTACCTTTTTGATAATACCAAAGAGGGAGAAGTATACTCTTAGGGTGAGTAGGGTATACTTTATATATTTGTTACATGAAGTTTAACCACTGCAATATTCCACCTTAGTTTTCTTGTTTTGTCCACCTCCCTGAGAAATGTGTTGTCATTATTAAAAGGAGGGTATGGATCTATGTGTTTACAGGTACTGCATGTGATATTTTGATTGGTTGATTGATCATAGTGGTTTTGATGATGACTATAATGTTCGATGGGATCATGTTGTTTGACCCTCTGCTTAATCATGGTGGTCCTTGATGTTATCTTTCTAACTGTCTCTAATGATAATGTTCATCCTGAATTTATCTCAAGCCTCGTCAAGGAGAAGATTCAAGGTTTTAGAGAAGTTCTAAAGTTAAAGATAATATAACAAAAAACTTGAAACTTCAAAGTTATGAAAGAGGGGAAATGTGAAGGTTCGTATGGTCGGTCGTGCCCTTAACACAATGTATGAGTGACCAGAGTATTGTAAAAGTGTTAGAGTAACTCATAAGTTACTAAGGCTACTCTCATTCACTAAACAAATACTTTTAAGGACCCTCTTATTTTGTAAAAACAACCACAAAATATTTCTTTATGAGTGTAATTTACACTAGATAGTTAATGAGCATATTAAAACTAATTAATCATCTTTTTTGTAACGTCTCATAATTGATTATTAGGTTTAATAGTTATTAGTGACAACACCATTTAAAAAAATTCATGTTTAAACTAAACAATATTGATTATGTGACATGTATAATCAATTTTGTGATGTGCATACTCAATTTAAAAAGTGGTCATCACCCAATTTCATTATGTTAATTATTTCTTATTCCTATAAATATTTAGTTTAAACATACTCTTCGAGCACTCATTAATATAACCCAAACTATCATTATTATAATTTTTTATCTAGGCAAAAAATCCTTTTTGATCCTTTAACTTTACCTTTGGGTCCATTTTGGTCCCTCAACTTTAAAAGAGACCAATTTGATCCTTTAATTATCCAAACAGCGTCACGTTAGTCCTTTCCGCTTACTCTGCTATTCAAAGTTAGTTTTAGGGTACAAGTGGCGCATATGTGTCGCTGAGGTGGATATGAGGCTACGTTAAAAAATAAACTGAAGGCTTTTGTTCATAAAACATGATAAAGGCATATGAACCCTATCAGAGCAACTAATGAAGGAGGAATTAGATGCTATTTGCGAAAGAAGTAAAGTAGGCAAAATTAAAAGCTTGTTTGAAGGTAAAATCAAAGACATCATTGTTGATTATAGGTTTGTTTCACGAAATCTTTCTACAATTCTAAAATTGTATAGTTTTAGGGTTTATGTTTAGGTGTTTATGGTTTT